TTGGGATGTAATTGATTCTGCAATAAAGAAAGACAGTAACAGCAGACAAACAGAGAGCACAAAGACTCAACAACTGACTCAGATGGACAGCCATTGTTTTAACTGATTGTGTAATTTTGTGTGCTCTTAAATAACTATTGAGCATTTTGTGCCAGTCACATACATGAAATGTTACAAATCTGTTTACACTATTGGTGTCATTTACACTGGGGTCGCTGGGGACATGTCCCCGTCACTTGCTGAAAGCGAAATTGGTTAAATATGTTCTGAAAAATAGTTTGGAACAAGAAGTGTTAAATTACAAATGAAAATGCTTTGAGAAAGGTTTATTTGCACAATAAAACATGCAATTTAAATACAGATGAAACAAATGTGCATTGTCCAAGAAAATTACTTGAACAACAAAGCTACTGATTACTGAATTATATTCCATTTTATTGTTATATTCTCAATTGTCACCTGCTAAGTGAATTTCGTGCTGCCATTCATATAAATAGACATTTATTCCATAAATTGGTGCAGAAAATGTCTCCAGAATGCAGGAAATAAACAGTTTAATGCTCAAAATCTTCAGACTCCCAACTCATATTTCACCATCAAATATTTCTTAAAATTAGTGTTAAAATCTTAAATTAAAATATCTTCGTCTTGTTCTCATGACCAAAGTCTTTAATCACACCCCTATTCTCAGACCTTATGTCACCACCTCTTTTCAACACAAAGTGACGCCCTTGCTGTTACAGTCGGCCTGCTGCTTATATTGTTTCACCATCTGTACAAAAATGTAGCCTAAGTAGTGAATGTGTGTTTGTGGGCTGGCGTGGCTACAGGGCCAGGGCTGAATTTTTCCACCCTTGGGTCTAATACAGCCGCCTCTCTAGTCTGCTCGAGCCCACAGAGTGGTGAGTACAATGCCCCGCCCACAAAACCAGCAATACTAGTAAAAGTCTGCTACTGCATCAGTACAACAATCAGGAACGTGTACAAAGCGATATTTTAATCTGCTCTCTCTCATCCACCGCAGCTTTTACAAAAGCACATGTGCTAGCTCGGCTAACAGCTAGTAGGGCTGCAACTAATGATTATTATCGTAGTCGACTAATCTGTTAATAATTTATTCGATTAGTCGACAAGTCACGATTGTTTTTGTCACTCCTAACCCTAATTAAACCATTTCACTAATTACAAATCATTCAAGTGAATTACTCATCTCCAACACACAGTCTAACTAGCTAACGTTACCATTAAGTGAATGAAGTTTACTATTCAGAATGAACACCAGAATCAACGCCAGGAGGAAACCAGGGAAGACAAGACAGCGTAGGCTTCTCCTTTAATACACAACAGAGAGATCGGTGTTCCCCTGTATTTGACAGACCATGGCTGCAGAATGAATAACCACCACACTACAACGTCACACAATCTTTAATATCAGTGCGCAAGTGATGATTTTAACTCTCACACTGCGAGCGTGGTGACACTCGACGCTCTGTAGCTCCCCGTTTATCCTGTGTGTGAGGCCGAGCGAATGGGAGAGAGAGAGAGAGCGAGCGGCAGAACGTGACGCTGAAAGTTAGTGGAGGAATATATTAGCAGTAAGTTTCAGTCTGGTAGCACACGGTTGGAAAAGTGAAGGCCATCTCCCCTGTACAAGGGCCTGCTCTCTGTCCCCCACACCAGACTCTGGACTTTAGGGCCATCAGCATCTGGAGCTCATCCCCACAGAGATACGAGATGCTCCCCATCCAGACACTTTCAAAGATCTACTAAAAACCCAGCTCTTTACTATGGCATTCAATCCTGAATGACTTTCTGTTGTTCTGTCACTGTAACTATGTGTAAAGCGTCATTGGGTCCCATGAAAGGCGCTAAAAATATTTATTTATGTAACGTTAGCTAAATTAGTATTGAAGTAATATTAATTATCAGCTGTAAGTCATTACTAACTAACCTACTAGTTATGGGTTGAGAACATCCGGTACAAACTTAGACTAAAGAGGTATACAGCTCTGTCCTGTACACATACTGAACATCCTGATAATTATTTTTCAGTTTTCAGAGGAGTCTGAAAGCTGGTTGTTGAAGAAATGAGGGACCGTGGAGCTGAGGTTAATAAAGTAAATTAGGGACGCAAACTAGCCCTTTTAAGCTAATTAGGAGATGCAAATGAAATGCTTAGTGGTTATCCAGGGAACCTCTATAGAAAAAATTATGCATCAAGATGCATCGATAATCGTTTTGTAATCGTATGGTGCCCAGAGATTCTCACCCCTACTAACAATGTAATGTATATCTAGAATAATAAAGCAACAGTCTCTTTTCATACTACTTCTGTAGTTTTTTTTCAAAAGTGCTTATAAGTTTTATAAGTGGAGAATGTTCAGTAGGCTACATCATGAGCCAGATGTTCCTTGGTGTACTTTAAACAATTACTCATAACTACTAACTTCTTTTAAAGCTGGGTCTCCGACATTGAGTGAGTGAGTGAGTGAGTGAGAGAGAGAGAGAGTTAACCCAAGGCAGAGATTCAGCAGGCATGATTATATGGTCTAAATCAGAACTGAGCCAGTCCGTCACAGTTATTAAAAAAGAAGAAGCTTATATTTGGTTGAAAATTAACAAACAAACAGGCAGATGATTTGTGCTGAGCAAATCATCTGCCTGTTTGTACAGATGGACCCCAGACAGCATGGGGGCGTACCAAAAGGCAACAAACATGATTTAACTCATTTATTTCTAACAGAAATTCCCCTGAATAATTCTGGAGTAAATTCTGCTGTGGACAAAATTAACAAAATTTTTCATCATTTAGCTCTATTTTCTAATTTGAAAGCCTCCAATTTAAAACCTCAACAAAATGAATGCAAAACTAAAAGAAAATTATCAAATGAAAAGCATAGGGACCCAGATAACCACAACATACGCTGTCAATATGAGGCCACTCTGAAACAATACAAGTAAACCCTAAAAACTAAGAAAGAACACAGCAAGAACCAGCTCTGTGAAATTGAGCAACCCAAACTAAACACAACTCTCTCTGATAATGGCACATATTTATGATTCACAACGGCCGCGTTCACATTCCAGGTGTGCCCTGACTTTACAATCATAAAACGATGAAACGCTCATGGCGACGTTGCCAGTTGCAGAACATGTTGCTGCCGAGTGCACAAGATTAGACAACACCGGACAAGTTTATACCGGCGTGTAAACTGCTCCGTCACTAAACAGCAGATCAGCTGCTGAGACTTGATTTCAGTGGAACTTTTTACTGCAAAATGTTCATTAAAAGATGTATTTTTAAAAGCAGTATTTATTTTATTGTCGGGATTGTTAATTAGCACAACAGCCTAAAACACCCTCAAGTTTCATAAGCACATAGCTAAATGAGAGGCATTGTGTAATTTTTATGATTCATAATCCAAACAGTTGATTATTCGTTCCAATAATCAATAGATTAATCGACTATTAAAATAGTTGTTTGCAGCCCTATTCTCCACCAGAATCAGCTTTATTGCCAGGTATGTGCTCATAATAATTCATGCATCACCTAATTTCATCATAACACAGGCCTGACCCACACGAAAGAACAGTGTATGTTTAATCTGCCTAATATTGTGTTGGTCAGACTATACACTGATTTACTGCTTGTCTGTTTTGAATGATACCGAAAGTAAAGACTTAAAAATTACTCTATTAAATTGCAATATTGTTTAAAAAAAAAAAAAAAAAATCACAATGAGATTATTTTCCTAAATCGTTCAGCCGTAGTACTCTCTCTAAAATACCACCACAGGAATAACGTTTTTTCATTAAAAGTATCACCATTTAAACAACAGATTAGCATTAGCATTTTGTAGCACAATGAAGCACATGCCTACATTATGGTATGATTTGTTATTTACGGTTGAGGTATACATTCAGACGCAAAATAATATATTTACTGACCAAAAATGCTGACAGATTAAATTTAGAAATGTTTGTAGATAGATTATTTATGTGTGGTTTGGATGGTTTTACTGAAAACACATTATTACTGAAAACAATGTCAAATATTTTAGCCAAAATCTGTGTTCACACCACCCTTTACAATTACTCCAGCAGCAACTTCTCAGCAAGAGCAGGTGCTCTGTGGAGCTCATTAGGAGTGAGCGTTTCTGTTCAGTTTTACTGCAGCAATTTGAAAGACAAACAGCTGCTCGGTGCTTGTGTACTTCTGACAAGAAAACATTTATAAAAGGAAGTACTTTTTTACTCAAGTAAAATTAAAAAGTAGCTCATTTTAAAATTAATCAGAGTAAACGTTTCTTAGTTGCTTTTTTAACCTAAAAAAATTAATTTATACTGATATAATATCTTCTTTATACATATAAAATTAAATCGCAGTCTTTTGCAAATTGATATGGGCACTGTCAGTTCATCAGGACCGATCCTGTCGGGAGACTCAAATAATCAATGACATTATGCTGCTGTACCTCATGCGTAAATGCGCACAGTCTTTGTAAATGGGGAGATGATTCCTCCTATTTCACCCCCGCTACTAATCAGAAAGTAATTTTTATGACCCAACTGCAACACTGCACATCACTCGAGCCCACCTATGCAGGCAAATACTAGCCTATCAGAATAATCTGCTGAATAAACACCAGTGAAAGTAATAATATTTCTGTTGCGTTTTGAAATGCTCTCTCTCTGACTCTGCTTCATTTTTCACCATCATTGTTTCGTCTGCGCGCTCCCGACACAACTCGTGATGTATCGCGCATGCGCGGGAAAATCCCAGAACAAAGAGAAACGCTCGTGAGTTTTTCTTTCAGCTTCCTCTCTTCAAGATGAAAACAGGAATCACGGAGACACTTTGGAAATCAAACCACGTCAACACAAACCCTGGAGCGGGTTTTCAGGCTCTGATCTCTAACAACAGAATGAACGGATGATACACGGACCCTCGAGACTCTTCCTCGTGTCTTTAGTCTCGTGATGAAGTCATGAACACTGACCTGAACATCGGTGCTATCAGAGCACGAGGCTGCTGTTTGGCTCCTGTGGTCCGGGTTCTGGTTCTCCATCGTCCTGCAGGTCTCCGCTGTGACTGGTGGACCGTGTTGTCCTGGACTGAGTCTGGATTCTGGTCTCGGAGCTCTTCAGGCTGAGATACAGGAGCGTTGCGGGATCCCGCGGAGAGTTCCCGCGACGTCACGGCGTCTCGCCCCGCCCCTTAGTTACTGTCGCTAAGGCCGTTTAGAAACATGGCTCCTTGATTTCAGGCAGAAGATGAAGTTTAGTTAGTTGGTTTCCTGAAACCAGCTGATCATATTTGATGTGTATGAGGGAGTGTGTTCACACAGAGCAGAGTTTTAATGAAGCGCTTGTTATTATCACATCAGAGGCTCATGAAAATATCCTGCTGAAGCTTTTTGTACATCATGTTTTTACACAAAGACAGAAATAACTTCATGTGTCACATTTAATGTTGAATTTATAAGAAGGCAGAATCATTAAGAGTTTGTCGTAGACAGCGTTTCACAAAGTTTCTAAAGTGTCCTCTAACTCAACAAGTCACTAAACTGCAGGATTGTTGAAGGGAGTCTGGGACTTTCTCCCCGGGCCACAAAGGAGTAGCTATATTACGGTTACTGGTTAAATGGTGAAATCAGATGAAACAGACAGTTTGTTCACAAACATCTGCTGCTTCTCTCGGCAGCTAAGAGAGTCCAAACACATCATGAACATCACAGTGAAGCTGTTTGTTCACTTAACGGGCCATCGTGTGTTTGTCCAGGTCGGCTCTCTATTCAAATGGGGATCAGCTGCTTGAAAAGGCGACTGATACACATTTTCACCTCCATTATTTCTTCTTTGTGGCAGCTGCAGTCTCAACAGATTCTCATATTGGTTGCTTCTCAAGTCTCTTACTTGTTGTTTCCTCGCTCTTAGCTTGAACCAGAAGTTGTTCCTCGCCCCGAGGATCGAGGAGCGATCTCTGAGGAGCTATGAGCGAGGATACACCAGTGTATCCTTCGCGGAAGTCTTTTAATGACTGACACATAGCTGTTATGTTGATTGGACGCTGCAGCTGATCGGACTGATCTGATGAATCACCGCAGAACATTGAACTCAACTTGATTTGTTTTATGATTCACTGTCTTGTTAAAATCTGTGCTCATTGTAGGTCTGAACAACAGAGGCCCCACACACAACTTTATTTATTTATTAGAAAGATCTTTCTTTCCATCAAATTGTCTATGAAGCGAGCAAAGCATCTGACAAAAGTAAAATCAGCTGATGAAACTACGAATGAAAGCTGCTGTGCTAAAAAGAATCGTTGGATTGATGTGATGGAACGCAGTGATCGATCGGTGAGGAGTGATGTGATTTGCAAATAAAATGTATGCAGTAGTGTTGAAGTAAATCAGAAGAGAAAATAAACGGAAAGACAAAACCTGAGCGTCAACTTTGATCCAAGTTACATCACTTCCATTTCCCGACACCATGATCATATTCTGGGTTATTCAATCAGAATCAATAAATATGAATGCGGAGAATATCACCACTGTGCCAGTACAAATGATCCTTTGAGCAGGACATACAGTAAGCTATAATGATTCATGTGCAGGAGTTTGTTAAACAGGTAACAGCTACAGAGAGAATCTCGCTGCTCTGCACTGATAACTGAGATTTTATTAGTACCAACACAGATCAGCTGCCGCCGTCATCAGAAACAGACGTCGCTTCATGTGACGCTTTGGAGGAAAGGATGTCTCATGTCATATATGTCACATACTTCCTCGTTTCTTCTCTCCTCGCTTTCTTTGCGTCTCTCCATGCATCCCCGGTGGGCGGGACTAAGATGCAAGGAAAAGACGCAAGTGAGGGAAACGTAGATGCAATTAAGAGACTTGAGAAGCACCCATTGATGATTGGTCAAGGCCCTTTGTTGTCGCCTTTAAAAAAATAAAATAAAATAATTATAAATGACAAAAATAGTCGGTATCAATACCGAAACACAGAACAGGGTCAGAGAGCCAATACCTTTCCCATATCACAAAGATGTATGCATTAAAAAAATCTGCATAATCAAAACATACATAAAGATTTTCACTCATTATCAGATATGCACTATGGGAAGAACAAAACAAACAACAAAAACAAAACATACAAAATAATAAAAATAAACTCAAAATCAAATTCCCTGTGACCTAAAAATACTACTGAATTAGAGACTTGGTCACACAAAAAAAAAAATTCTTAAGTATGACACTTCTTGCCATTCTGCTGTTACCATGGAGACTGCTTGCACCAGTACCTGGCCTGTTGTTACAATAAAAAGTTGGAAAGAAAAGAAAACCAAATTGGTCAGAAGAGGAAAACATTGTGCTGCTGGAGGATTTTTATTAAAAGAAAGCAGAGATTAAAAAGTAAATTTGATCATCAAATAACAGCAAACAACAAATGTGGGAGGAAATTGCTTCAAATATTAATTCTCTTGTGAAGAGGTTCATCCAGGAGATCCAAAATAAGTATGACAACATGTCTGTTCTTGCCAAAACAATAGATCACCAATTATAGAAGGGAACACGATAAAACTGGTAAGAATAACTTTATTTAGACTATAGATACAAACTAAACTGTGACAGCCTTCTCGTTTTGCTCATCGTTTAGCGTTTCCATTGGATTCTCCTGGTCGCGGAAGACTCTGTTCAGGATATGTAAAATTTCTTCCTTTATTGCCATAAACTCAACCATGTTGCGGTTAAGATAAAGCCAGAGGTACCTTAAATTCTTTTCCTTAGTTTGGTGAAACGGTTTAACACACTTATGGGATTCCTTAAGTATAAGATAAGGAGAAAACCTCAAATACTTAAGGTTTCCTTAAAATGTTCACTTAAGGAGAAGATTAGGTGTTTTGTTAAGGAAACCTTAACTCAGACTAAGGTTTTTTGTGCAACCGGCCCCTGATCCTTGCTATTATCATAGTAACATATCACATCCTTGAGAGAGAAGTTATAAATGATCATGGGGGGATGGAATATGAAATAATTTAAATCAGACCAAAACTTCTTTGTAGAATCGCAATAAAAGAAAAGATGAATAAATGTTTCATCAGCATGGCCACAAAATGAGCAGGAGCTATCAACATATTTGGATACTGCAGAATTTACAGGATACATTTTTTAACACCCTGGGTTGCCCTTTTGCGTAATTTTCTGACGTTAGCAACAACAAATATATAACTTCTGGTAAAGCTAGCAACAATAAATATGCACGTCCGGTTAGACTTTCAAAATAAAATGCTGGCGTTTCCAAACATCACCATTTTGAAACGGTGCGTTATTAAAGTCGTGAAACGTTGCAGTTTGGTTGGGTTTAGGCAACAAAACTACTTGGTTAAGGTTAGGAAAAGATCATGGTTTGGGTTAAAATGAAAGATAACTAACGTCACTTACGTTTGAGTAACTTCCCTAACTTGAATTAAAATTATTTAATGTTCACTTTTTGCTTCACACGGGACACAAACCCTGCCCTCCTGGTTCAAAGTCGGGATTCTGGCCCTCTGTCCACCATAACCACCTCCTTACTCAGTCTTTTCTGTTAAATATCATACACCTTTACCGCTTTGGTAGCCGGTCAGAAGACTGTAGTCAACCGCTGTAATCAGCTTAGATTACGCATTGTTTGTGAATTCTTGTTGACTTAATAAACTGCGATTTTAGAGATGGATCTGTTTGTTTGAGTTTCATTTCGCATCTTAATATAACACGCATGACAACACTCACGTTCAAGTCAGCTGCTTGCCAAAAAGCTGAAGAAACAACGAGGGAAAGAAGCGTTTTTTCCACAGCTGTAAGTGCTGCCATGTGGCCTAACGTAGCTGTGTCACACTCAGAGATGCAAAGAACAGGGTCTTCCGTAAACGCTGCGAGACCAGCAAACAGCTTTCAACCGCAAACAGTTTTGTGTTGCAGCATCTGCTAAAAAATGTGAAAGTTAGCCTGTAGAAAGAAACTCCGTTACTGCCAGTTACTGCCAGTGAAGCATCCACTCGGCAGGAGAAAGTGGCGTTAATCAACAGATGTGTGTTTTGTAAAAGCACCAAATACTTCTGCATGTGCAAAACAGTAACGTTAGTTCGAAACGCTTGCTTGATTTTTTTTTTTAATCTCAGACAGTGGCGTTAAAAAACGTTATATGCTTCGTAAAAATCATACTCATTGATGCTGTTATGAATACGCCACTAGTTTGAAAGGTCAGGAGAGACTTCCTTTGATATTTATTATTTTTAAATAGCCTATATACAGCATCTTCCTGTCTGTATCTGTTAGATTCTGAAGGACTGAACAGACTCAGAGGCCAAAGAGTGGGCTTTTGTTTTCCACAAGTGATGCAGTTCATTAGAAAACATGATATTTAATAAGGAATGTGAGAGCGAGAAGACGATAAAGAGGTTTTCCACCTTTGTAAATCAGCTTCCACCGCTTGTTTTGGTGCTGCTGCACAGACGACATCAGAATCTGAAGTAGAAGTTAAAGGTTTGTGACTGCAGGATCAAAACAGGACGTTTCACTTTCATCACGCTCCTTTGAAAACACAACTTTTCTCTCTTTGATTTCTGATCAGCTCTGTGGTGACAGCGGTGATGATGTCATCATAGCCGTCATCCAATCCCTCGTCAGCCTGGGTCGGCAGGGTCATCACCAAATGTAAAAAGGTAACTGGTCTGTGTTTGAACCAAAAACAGCAGAACAACAAATATTGTTGAAAGGAAACAGTTTATTGAACGTCCAGTTTCAAATGATGAGTCAAAGTTTCTCTTTGTGTCGACTAATTTAATGAGAACATTGAAAAGGACTCGAGTCTCCAGCTCAGATTATTACAGCACCAACCCTGGCAGGATGCAAGTTAAACAGAAAGCAACACATTTACTGACAGAACAGAAAGCAAACTGCTGTTAAAATGGAGTCAGATAATGAAGACACAATAATATTTGATTCAGTCAGACTTTCACAAGAACAAAGGTTTGTTCAGACTGAACACAAATGTCGCCCTGTTTATTCAGCGCCTCTTCCTCCTCACTGGATCAAACCCAGAGGCCTCCAGTGGACCTGGTTCAGGCCTCAGAAACATTTGGATGTTGTGTTTTTTGCCCTGTCTTCAAGTGTTCAGACGTCATATGATCCAGTTTGAGCTGAAACATTTCAGACTTGATCTGACACGTCTTCACCTCAGCTGACGCCGTCTTTAACGAATCTGCGGCTTCGACTACAATTGGCTTTACTTTCAGTCCGAATAAACCTCAATAGATTCAAAACTACATACAAAATACACAACTACTCTATATACAGTTAACACATTTAAAATCTGGAGAAGAAAATGTAAAGTAACTAGGAGGAACAAGAAATGACCTGTTTAAGAGAAACATCATGGGACCCAGATTTTACTCCAAAAAGTATTGATGTTGTTTTCAGGACAGGGGAAGTTGAGGACCTCACAAGATTTTACCAAACATATAATGAAGGAGGAGTGGACCCTAATGAAGATAAAGCTAATAGAAATGGTCTGTAGTATTCAGTTCTATTCTATTCTATTTGCTGCCCCTCATGTGAGTCCGGGGTCATTCTAGCCTGATTGAAAGGTCGCTAGGGGTGGAAATCACAGGGTACCTCACGACATGATACGATACACGGCTCACAATAACGATAATATCACGATACAGAAATTCTGAGATTATCTATACAATCATAAAATGATACATCACGATTTCTATCTCACTGTTAAACCTACAGAACTACAGGGCAGCCATGAAAAATTATTATTAAAAACACAAACAAACATGCAAATGTACAGATTTTTTTGCTGAAAATACAAATTGCTGTGTACCACCCAGTACACACATAATATTGAGAACTGTCCAGTGACACAGCATTGTACTCTCCTTTCTCCACCTACTGATAGCTGTATTTTTAGGTTATTTGCACCGGATGTTCCTCAGGATGTTAAGCATATGAAGCAAAAATGTGTAGGTTATGTTAAGATTATACTTTCGCGATTGCAATGCTAATGTCCGATAGCACGTAAATGGAGATTATGGGTGTAGTGAACAACGGTGTGGATTTGTGCATTTTATACTGAATAAATTTGGAGCTACTCCAAATTCCTCTCTCCTCTCCCAGAGAAGAAAATGGGGTCAAAGTTGCTTTCTCTAAGTGCTATCTGAGAGAGCTGAACTTTCAATAACACAAGACTGGAGTCTCCAAAGACTCAAAGCATTTAATTAAATCTTACTTGATTACGTTTGCCTCTATTTGAGTAGTTATGTTAACATGTTGTTGTTATCTGTTGTTGATATTCGTGCTGAAAAGAAAGTTACTTGTGCAGTGTTTTTATTTTCAGCAAGACACTCCTTCATCTAATGTAATCAATGCTTGTTCAGAATACTTTCCTACAAAATTCCTTTAGAAATGATGACAAAGGAATGTTTTACTATACTCTTAACCGCCAGCTTGAATTTAAAGATGAATAACTAAATTCCCCAGTTCCTAAGGAGAGATGATCTTGGATTAATCTAAGCTTTCCTCATGTAACCTGAGCTCCCCCAAGTGGACAAAATAAGTATTACATACCATCGTTGGAAATGCCGTTAAATGTATAAATATCCTGACCAATAATGTGACAATTGTTTCCTGTTACCAAATGCTTAGAACAGTTCAACCGTTTGACCATTGAGGTTCGATTGTGGAAAATATTTGATTATATTACGCGCAAATTTCTTTTAGACATTAAGTTTAGAAAGGCAGTCCCTTGGGAAACCTGAAACGCCCCCTGGGGAACCACGCCCCAGGGCAACAAAAGAGCGACACGCAACGTCGTAAGCTCTCTTCTCTCTTCCACTCTTCCCCTCGGCTCTCTCTGGACGACCAAGCAAAACAGGCCTTTTGTTTGCTTGAAGCTACACACCTGAAGTGCCGCGACATCGATCTGCCTTCAGTTTGTTTTATTTTCTTTATTTCTTTTGTTTGTTAAAGTTATCAGTCCGTTAAGTTACACTGGTCTAATTCAACAGGCCAAAAGCAGGCTGTCGACCAAAGTAAGACCAAACACACATTCTGTGGACCGAGATTTCCTTCCGTTCTTCTATGCCGTATGAGTCAAATGCTTCCCACAATCGAATCTCCATTTCTCATTGTTCAGCAATTGTTTATTTTCCCGGTATTCAACCATCTTTTTATCACATTAGTTAGAGAATAAATTCACTGTAATATAATCAAGAGCTGTGTGTGTTGCCTATTTCTAGTTCCTGCCAAGAGAATTGACCCTTTAGATATGAGACTGACTGACTGATTTAAGATAATTGAGCGATTATTAACTAACTGATCACTAGTAATAATTGTATAATTATTAAAAGCTAACTAGAGGTCCGGAGACTCTATGATTATAACAACTCCGGTGGTGCCCTTAACGAGGAATATTGTTGATTTTATGGATATTAAAATTCATAATTGGGTATCAGTTCTCATAAATTTATAAAAATGCATAACTAAATTTAGGTTTGCTATATGGGAATCTCCCAAGGGGCCCTTACATGAGGTCGGCGCGTTGCTTCGCCATGTTTCTACAGTAGCCCAAAACGGTTATAGAAATGTCTGTTTCTAAGGTAATAAAAACATAACGGTTCATTATGTAAGGCCTTTACACTCCACTGAAAACATAGTTATAGATAATATTACACACTGAGCCTTTAATAAAGATACAGTCAGGTGGGTAGACAGTGTTGGGCAAGTTACTGTTATTTGAGTGTGATTAGTTATATTACAACATTATATACAATATGTCTTTGAATTGTAAGGCTTTACACTACTTTTGAGTTGCTTTGAGTTACTTTCCCTGCTATTTGAATGGGCGCATTATTCTGATAGTAAGATGTGCTGCATACGTGGGTTCTATTCATAGTTTTCAGTCACGTGACATGCGGCTCCCTCGTAGAGACGCCATATAAGCTTTAAAATTTTATTTGGATCAGCTCTCAACTCAAGAAAAAGTTAGATATGGACACAGACTGCAAGTGTTGGGCACTTGCGATCCATAAACAGCACCAATTTCTTTTGAGTAATGCGTTATATTACTGCGTTACAGACAAAAGGAATACATTATTGTAATTGCATTACTTTTGTAACGCATTACTCCCAACACTGTGAGTAGAGCAGCCAAAAACTGCACTCAAGAAAAAGTACTGTTACTTTGCAAAAACAAGTACTCAAGTAGAAGTTAAAGTAGTTGTCAAAGTAACTACTTAAGTAAGAAATATACATTTACACCAGGACAATATTCTCAGAGTGTATTCATTAAGTGTGATTATATTAATATTGTAGTATCTTAGTACTCCAATAAGTATTGCAAGATTGTTTAAAAATCTAAATCGGTCAGATACCAACGCTTTGAGAAAGCACTGACAGACCGTCTGTTTTGGACGCCCTGGGATGTGACTGCACGAGGCACTAAATTTTAAGCTGTACCCTAAATATTAGCTGCTTGCGCCACTTGAAAGCCATACTACCATGTTGTAGCTTCAGTCATTATTCTGCTCTTCCTCCTCACTACACACTGGATCAAACCACAGCAGTTAAACCCAGAGCATCCAGTGGACCTGGTTCAGGACCTTGTGATGAAACTCATGTTCAGAGTCATGTGGATGCTTGAAATAAATAAGTAACACGATGAATGTCTTCAAATGTAGTAAAAAAAATGATGTATTAAAACACTCTGACAAGTACCATTTATTGAAAAAAGTTACGTGAGTGCATGTAACAGAGTAAATGTAACTCGTTACTACCTTATAGAGGAAGAAATTAGGCAGCAGACCATGTCTGAGCATCAGGAGGAACCTCTAAAAACTGAAGAGGATCCCAGACCCCCTAACATTTTTATTTTAATGTAAGAGTATGTGTTTTATTTATTTATTTATTTAATGCAACATATTGTAGAATATGACATATGACTATGATATCGTTAAAATGGAAATATCATTTTGTGTGGTCTCTGGTGATTCACACCCCTAGTGGTCTAATTGTGTGTGACAACAGCAGGATTTTGGGGAGAGGAAGGTCAGAGTGTAGACACAATCATAACATACATGCTGCTTAGAAACATAAAGTTACTGTTGTCTATCCCTCAGCTTGAGGAGAAGCTCAGACTATAACAACACAGCCATCAGGGCATGATGAGGAGGCAGCAGGAAGCAACTTGCTTGGCTCGGACAAATGTTTAAAGCGAAGCAGCGTGACGGCGTCGGTGGATCTTAAGGTGACCACTCTGAGTAAAAGTTTTCCCACATTGTTCACACCAGTACGGTTTCTGTCCAGTGTGAACGCGTCTGTGTCTGTCTAGGTCACCTAATGTAATGAAAGCTTTCCCACACTTGTCACAGTTGTACAGTTTCTCTCCAGTGTGAACACGACGGTGCTGATTTAGGCTTTTTGACAGAGTGAAAGCTTTCCCACACTGGTCACACCCGTATGGTTTCTCTCCAGTGTGAACACGTCTGTGTCTTATTAGGTCACCTGATGAAGTGAAAGCTTTTCCACACTGGTCGCAGCTATAAGGTTTCTCTCCAGTGTGAACACGTTGGTGGATTTTTAGAATATTTGATCTAGTGAAAGCTTTCCCACACTGGTCGCAGCCGTACGGTTTCACTCCAGTGTGAACACGGTGGTGTATTTTTAGGTCACCTGATGTAGTGAAAGCTTTCCCACATTGGTAACAGCTGTACGGCTTCTCTCCAGTGTGAAAACGTTGGTGAATTTTTATTTCACTTGATGTAGTGAAAGTTTTCCCACACTGGTCACAGCTGTATGGTTTCTCCCCAGTATGAAGCCTCTGATGAATCTTTAAATATCCAGATGTTGTGAAGGATTTGTTGCAGTGTTCACAGTGGTGACGCTTGAGTCCCTCTCTTCTTCTTTGTTTCTATAGCAACAGACAGAAAGACAGTTAGTGAGATGTTGTGGTGGAGTGACCGTGTAAGCCTGTTTCCATGACAACAATGTGTGAGCTTTTCACAATGAAATTCGTTTTTTTACATGCACATTTTTTATGCAATTATAATACATCTTGTCTACTCTAATTTTGATTAGACAAAATGTGTTATGTGTTCTCGGAAAGATAACACTCTGAAGTGTCTAACCCAAAAATGAGAATCACTGGAAATGCTACTGAAATTGATTAATGTAAAATTGAACACACTAAGAGTAATATATTTTTATGTTTCTGTTAGAAAAAGTTTGCTAACAAATTCATGCAGACAACTATAGCTGGAAAACAAAGCCTTACCCTAGTGCAATTTTAAATTTTATACCAATGCCATGAAAAATTGAATTTAAACAAAAGGTTGTCATATTGTATTCTTTTTAAAAACAGCACCGCCCCATGGTGGCAAGGGTCTGCTGCTGCATCGCTCCGTATTAGCTAGTAGCTTGATGGAGATGTGTTTTAGCTGGTAGATCATTGACATCCTAGTTAAAGCTTTCAGAATTTCATTCAGTCATCGGCACAACTGGTTGCGATTGGCTCGGCCTACCCACGAAATAATAGGGGCTGGCCCTTTCTTACAGCGCGGGCTCTCCTTGGCTGTTGTAGGCTGTGAAACGGACATGTAAGGTCCTATTAGGTCGACTTAGCTGTCAATTTAAAGATCAGAGTTCACCAGCCATTTTGAATACAAGATATTGTAGTTTACATCCAAACCGGAGATATTATGATTATAACGACATAAATTACACCTGACAGCAAATTTGAAATGATGCAGCAGCAGTAGGACCCTCTTGAAAATGAGATGATGCATCTCAATAGGCTATCCTTTAATAAATTCAGTCCCTGGGGATTTATTGATGGAATAATGTGTTTGAAGCCTCGTAGTAATCCAGCAATCCAAAAGTCCAAAGGTGATTGGGGTCAATTTTTGCACTGGTTTTTCTGACAGAGCCGCTGATTGTAATTATAGCCCGACTGATATATCTGCCGATTGTTTATAACAGCAGATATATGACTATTAAAAAAGAAACCTAGATCCTTCACTCATGTCATGGGTGTTGCATAGTTTGCCCACCAGAGGGCGACCAGCTGCAGCTCCCCTGTTAACTACACTGCGTCACCACCAAGAACACAATCAGCTGACCAGAGTTTAACTTACACGCAGCATTTAGAAACACGCAGAGGGCTGTGTGAGCGGTGAGTCCGTCTTTTGTCAAGTTAATTACATGCCTTTAATAATTATAATAAGAACAGACCCAGTCACTTCTCCTCTCCTGAAAACATTCATGACTTGCTAACCTTCCCGTTTTTTACTGCACTCTCCCGACTTTCTAGCAGCTCACAGCAGGTTAATGTTACGGTAGCTGAGTGTTGGAAGCTGCTGACAGACATAACTGTAGATTTATTTAACAGTGTGGCAGTTCTAGTAAACAGTCCACATTCGTTCATCACTTCTAAATATTCTCCAAAATCACATAACGTTACAGCAGCTCACGCTGCCCATTGCTAAATTAGCCACAAAGCTAATGGCGTGTTAATCAGTGGAGGAGCGCTAACGTCGTAATGAGCCGTTAAACTATAGTTTCTGACGTATTCTAAATATATCTGCAGCCGCCTGTCTGCAGTTAGTCGGCGTGTCTGAAATGATTAAACCAGAGCGGACATGTAAATAAACGTGAGCTGAACAAGAAAATAACATGGCTTCCTGTAGCTCCTCTTTGTGTGACGTTGTAGATGTGAAACGCTGTAGTCAGAGCCGTAACAGCTCTGGTTGTTGTTATAACATTAGTTAAATGAAATCTCAAAGTTGCAGGTCCTCATGGTAGAGTCATGTAGTATTAGATGCATTCAACAGCAGCTCACTGTATTATAGATGGCATGATTTATACCGATGGTGGTTCACGTAGCTTTGGTTAGAATTAAAGTGAGTGCTGGTAAAGGGATGAACTGGATGTGAATGTGCTACATTGAAATTATGGCAGATTATGTGTAAAGTGAAATACACATGTTTACTCTCTCTCTGTTTACAGATAGCAAATCTTTATTGATGTGCAATTGTTTACATGTTCACTTTTTGAGACTATAATCTATTTTATTAACAATCCATTTAGGAAAAGGTTTTATAGCCCACATACATACCAGCTTTCAATATCGGCCTGTTCTAAGTGTAGTTTATACATTAAAGGAGTCTACTATCCAAATCAAATCATTGTTAAAATCAAAATATCGCCTCATAAATCGGCTCTTTTTCACTTAACATTGGCATCGGCCCCCGAAAACCCACACTGGTCGGGATCTAATTGTAACCATTGTTGTGAGTGTATCTTCAAATGAATCACAAGAGTTTTAGTGGTGTACGAAACAGAGATGCTCACACGTCTGAGCTAGAGTCCAAAAAAGTCTCTCTCACGAGCGATGAGCACAAAGCAGGTAGAGCCCAAATGCAAGACACTAATAGCAGAGATACAGTTCCAGGGTTTTTAATCCAAAGCAAAAGGCAAGACAAAACTCACGGGCAGAGTGGAAACTGGCTACATCCAAAATGCAGAACGGGTAGTGCAGCAACTGGCAGAACACACATTATTCGACAATGACCGGACGGGGACTGAACAGAAAAAACAAACATATATACACCAGGGACTAACAAGCAAAGCGAGAGCAACACAGGTGACGGGGATCAAGGCTAACGAGACAGGCAGGCAGAGAGGCAACTGGGGGAACAAACATAACCTAGGTACTGGACACTAAACACAGACATAACCTAAGACACAGAACTAAGATGCAGAACTAAACCTAAGATACATGACAGGAAAGAATGTAAATGCAAATGAACCATGGAACAAACAAGGATAAACAGAAAACACGAGACAAACCCAAAAATAGAAAACATGGACCAACTGCTAAACTAATAACACAGCATGGATAAGGGAGACAAGAAATAGGACAACACAGACAACAGACTAGGATAACAGAAACTCAACTAACCAAAAACTTACAGAGTACTGAACTTAACGTAGCCGACGGACAGAATGGGACAGTCTTTGAGCAAGCAACCATGCAGCTTAAAACACTGCATAGCTATAAGGCAGAAACCTGTTTTTCACTTACACAGCACAACCATGTAATGTGCAATGCAATCACGAACTTAGTGTAAGTCAACACACACCCCAGACTGTCAAACCAGTGTAACAAAATCAAACTGTAACATTACATGATCAACAATAAATCTGTAACCTGATTGCAGCAAACAAACACTCGTTCCTCCTTTCATAACTAACGACAGTAGGAGTTAATCTCCCGTTAGCTTGCTTCTAAAACAAGCTAACGGGAGGCCGATGCTGAACTAAACATGTTCTCTGACCTATTTTGCGTTCAGCTCTTCTTTGTTTAGGCCTTGTTGTATGAAGCTTCAAAGCCAAGGTTTATGACGAATGGTGGAGCAGCTGCCGTTGTTTGTTGTCCTCTCACATGCGGCCGCGCGCAGCTGATACTACATGTTATGTAGGCAGGTTATAGGTTACGCAGGGAGGGGAATAACAGCAAGCTCATTAGACGTTTCTTAAAAATAAACATTGTTCACGAGTCCTGCACCTCGAGTCTGAGTCAAGTCTGAAGTCACTGTGTGTGCGACTTAAGTGTGACTCGAGTCCGAGTCCTACCAACATTCTTAGTTGGTTGCATCAGCACGTGATTTGGTCGCACCCCTTTTTTTTGGTACAGGAATTAATCAATGGCCGGGGGAAGTGGTCAGAGTTTTGGGTAATGCATCATTTCCAGCAAGTTTTGCCTTTCTTACTGTTGTCGTGCCACTTCCAAGAATCAAACTTAAAATGTGACCCGGTGACAAATACAGCCTGCCCCGTATATCGTTTTGCAGATATTAGCGGCCGATATAGGCTACTTGCAGTTAGGGATGCAGGTATTACCGGATTTCACTATTAACCGCGCTTTAAAACGTCACGGTTAATTAATCGCTACACCAAGCGTTTCTGTTGCACGGAACGAAATTGTGGCAACTGCATAAAACAAATTTACAGTAGCGGTGCACCAGCATAAGTGTCGTGCTTATCAGGGGCCACTGCACACTGGCTACACTATGGCAGAGGGGCCAAACTGTGAAGCTTTATTTCCACCAGAGAAACGGCTGAAGTCGGCAGTGCGTGAGCATTTCGGCTACACTCAGACTGACCAGGGCGTTACTGAAGATGACGGATCACCTGTTCAAAAGCGTGCCGTTAAAGGAGCGAATACATTAAACATTACATTACACTTGATGCAGCACCTGCGGGATCACCACCCAGCTTTGCACGCACAAGTAAAGGTAGGCCTAAATACATTAACGTAGCAAGTTGGTAGGGAATTAAATATAAACGTGTCACTTACAATGACAGCCCCGCTGCGATATGAAACCCATTATTTTCAATGGCTTGGTTTGTTGCTGCGTCGAGCAACGTGCACCGCACGGCGAGCTCGCGCGAGTGATGCGGTCAAAGCAGTAGAACTTTAGTGCTGAGCAGCTTCCACGCAGTGCAAGTTGCTTCTTTTCTGAAAGGGTCTTTATGGAAGACAGAACGTCGTCACCTCAAGACCTTCAGTCACTGAACATTTAACGTTACATCCTGTTGCCTCCTCTGGGCGGAGAAAATGTTGCCAGAAGTAAAACACTAACATACTTCAAGAGCTTATAGACTTTCAGACTGTAGGCTACCAATTAACTGCATTTCAGTTAACACTGCACTCAATTTCTTTCCATCCTTTTCAGTAAAATGTATGGATAAGCGTTGATGACAGTAACAGTTCAGTTTATTCTCCTTTGTAACAATTTCCCCTGGGGGATAAAAGTTAATATTCCTCTTATATTAATAATACTTACATATTATAGAAATATAATTGTTAATGTCATTACTAGTGTTGTGAAATTAATTAATGCATAATGTAGGAGCTCAGTCCAAGAGTGATCCAAGGAAAAAGTGGTCGCTACACATAATAATTGTAATAATCGTGAAACCGTGATTATTTCTCTGACAATAATCGTACCAACAAAATCTGTAATCGTTCCATCCCTACTTGCAGATATTTACATATTACTTGTTTGCTCCTTCTCCTTGTGTTGAGATATGGTATGAAACCATTGGAGGGAAGTGAAGACCCTTGTATCGGTACACTCGGCATCAGCCCTAATATTTTGTTAAAGCTTTTTAAAATATTGAAACAGATGTTTTGAAAATTTGAGACATTGAAAACAGCGTTAAAATACCTATCAGTCATCACAAAACACTTTACTGTAATTGGTGCTTGTGTAGTTTTTAAAACAGGGACGGATTCACAATACACCAGCAGCACCCACACAACCCACGCCTAATGTAAACAAGACTACTGAGCAGTATACTTTCTATATCCCAGTAAGCAAACAAAAAATACTCAGTTTGAGGTTCAATTCAAAAGTTCGCCAACGAAAATAAATCAAAGCGACGCCTCTCGTGTTTAATAGACAAGCTTAGTGATTCTCTGACGACACCAGAGTTCCCCGCAGCCTGGCTGTAACTCGGGACAGACTGGGCCTCTTTTGGACTTTTTCTCTTTTGGAGTTTGGTTTGAAATGCCGTTTCACAGATATTTCCTGAGCTGACTCGTGGCCGTGTGTGTGTGTATGACGCTGGCGCCGATTGCCACAATATGCTTACCTTACTACACGCACCTTTCTGTTGTGCAGTTTTCCTGTCCGTCAAAGCGGCGGATGGCACGACGATTTCACCAACCACCACCAAGTTACCCGCGGGTGGTGGGTGCTACTTTCATTCCCCGTGTGATACTAAAGTTTCTGTAGGGTCAGCTTCTGTCAAGCTTAAGGCCATTGTACAAAAACAAGTCAAGGTACAGTGTAATGTGCGAAGTTGATTCTTCATCTGCTTTATTCTTGGGTGTCATGTGACCAGAGTGTTTTCGCAGCCTTGGTGATTAGAAAATCTCGTTTTATCACATGGCGATAATATCACAAATGCAATTAATCGGTCAGCCCTAACTGCTAGTATGTTAATATACAAATTATTTTATTTTACTATGTGTATATAATAGTACATACAGCCCACCACTAGTATAAAATAAATTCCAGTTGGACAAAACAGCAGTTTCATGTTTTCAGTCATTAAATACTTGAGCAAGAAAAATGGTCTACTTAATTTGTTGATGTTACTATCTCATCAATAATCAGAACCATTCATACAGGAGGAGTTCAACATTTGAAAGTTTACTGTTGTAGTGTTTCTCAACGGGGGCAGTACTGCCCTACAGGGGGCGTTCGAGGTACAACAGGGGGCCCTGGAAGCAATATTTCAGAAAGGGGGCGCTTGTTGAGATGAAAGTTTAAAAGCGAGTTTACACCAAATATTCACAACAATAAGAGTTTAAACCTTCAACTACTTGCAAAAAACTGTGGTCTGCAACATTAAAACCTGCCAGTTTAGGACTACTCCACTGCGACCGGAGGAGACTGCTTGTATCGTAACTTTTGTCTTTTGTGTTTCTGTCAGCTGCTTGTGGCGCAGCTCCGTGCTGCCTTCATGGAAACGGGAAGTCAGAGTATCCGTGACACCGTGAATGCCTTTCTATCGCAGTGTTTACACATAAACAAGGGGGGTAATCCGCTGTCGGACTTCCCCTGAAGGCATCTTAGCATCCAGCAACACCAGCGAGTGCCGTGAGATTAATCAAGTGGATCCACATCGCGCTGTGAATCGCATTCTGTTTTGTGCCCAGGCGGTAACGTGACATGTCGAGTTTCAATTTTAGAATATGTAACGTTAAAAACTGAGGAGCCGTCTTGCTCCGTTTGGGACTGTGAGCTGCACTTTCTCTGAGCTGCTGAAGTTAAACTGTGTGGATTTGTGTTGAGATCTCTGCCTGATCACAGATGTTGCATAGGCTACCTGTCAGGGTACAACCCTCCCGTTTTTACCGTTCTATCCCGCAGTTAACCTGCTTAAATACATGAACATGAGCAGAAAACACGTTAAAACAGAGAAGCTAGCCTATTAAAGCCCAAGACTTATTAACTGAATTAAAATGAATTCATTCCTCATTTAGGTGCCACAATTACATTTAACTTGAAAGAGGAGGGAAGACTAAATCACGTGTGTTGACTCAGCAGGGATGATGATTAAATAAGCTGATCTACAGGAGAAACATATTATAAAGCAAGAAACAATCCCAGAGAACCTCACTGCATTTTATTCCGTTATATTTTTATTTATGAATTTTTGTGTTTCTCTCTATAAATAATAACGTTTCCACCATAAATTTGTGCAGAAAAGGCAGAAATCTGAGCAGAGTTTGTTAGTTTTTTACCAGAATGCAGGAAATTAAGTCTTTAATGCTCAAAATCTTATGGGGAAGGAACTTACTAATTAAATTTAATTATTATTCATATGTGCTTTTTGTTTTTATTAACAATAGTAACAACAATAAAAATAATAATCAATAATAATCAGAGCAAATAGCTAAAATCGTTTTTGATGGGGGGGCGGGGGGGGCAGTAAGGGACCTGGATAATGGATAGGGGGGCGGCGGGCCAAAAAAGGTTGAGAACCACTGCTGTAGTGCGTCAAACCATTTCTATGTCCCGCCCCATCCAGGCTGTGATTGGCATAAAATGGTAGCAAAGTTTTCAGATAATTTACTGTTGCTTTATAGACTTACTTTGGGTAGGCAGCGTCAGGGGGTGGGGGGTTATGTTAGGTAACGACTTCTGGGTTGGGCTAAGCCCCCAATGTCTTAAGAGCCTGTAAACGCCCCTGGCCCCCAGTACAGCTGCACGGTCTGCCAACGCCCCCGTCTCAGATCATTCAGAGATCAATAACGCAGGCAGACTGTTTGTCACGGTGATAAACTCCCCAAACAACAAGGAAATATAATGACTCTGCTTCATTTTTCACCATCATTGTTTGTTCTGCGCGTTCCCGACACAACTAGGCTGTATTGCGCAAGCGCCGCGCGGGAAAATCTCAGAACAAAGAAAAGAGAAACGCTCGTGAGTTTTTCTTTCAGCTTCCTCTCTTCAAGATGAAAACAGGAACCACGGAGACACTTTGGAAATCAAACCACGTGAACACAAACCCTGGAGCGGGTTTTCAGGCTCTGATCTCTAACAACAGAATGAACGGATGATACACGGACCCTCGAGACTCTTCCTCGTGTCTTTAGTCTCGTGATGAAGTCATGAACACTGACCTGAACATCGGTGCTATCAGAGCACGAGGCTGCTGTTTGGCTCCTGTGGTCCGGGTTCTGGTTCTCCATCGTCCTGCAGGTCTCCGCTGTGACTGGTGGACCGTGTTGTCCTGGACTGAGTCTGGATTCTGGTCTCGGAGCACTTCCGGATCCCGCGGAGCCTCCGCGTTCTCGCTGTGACGGCGCCCCGCCCCTTAGTTACTGTCGCTAAGGCCGTTTAGAAACATGGCTCCTTGATTTCAGGCAGAAGATGAAGTTTAGTTAGTTGGTTTCCTGAAACCAGCTGATCATATTTGATGTGTATGAGGGAGTGTGCTTCACACAGAGCAGAGTTTTAATGAAGCGCTTGTTATTATCACATCAGAGGCTCATGAAAATATCCTGCTGAAGCTTTTTGTACATCATGTTTTTACACAAAGACAGAAATAACTTGACTTTGAATTTATAAGAAGGCAGAATCATTAAGAGTTTGTCGTAGACAGCGTTTCACAAAGTTTCTAAAGTGTCCTCTAACTCAACAAGTCACTAAACTGCAGGATTGTTGAAGGGAGTCTGGGACTTTCTCCCCGGGCCACAAAGGAGTAGCTATATTACAGTTACTGTTTAAATGGTGAAATCAGATGAAACAGACAGTTTGTTCACAAACATCTGCTGCTTCTCTCGGCAGCTAAGAGAGTCCAAACACATCATTAACATCACAGTGAAGCTGTTTGTTCACTTAACAGGCCATCGTGTGTTTGTCCAGGTCGGCTCTCTATTCAAATGGGGATCAGCTGCTTGAAAAGGCGACTGATGCGCATTTTCACCTCTCTTCAGGTGATCAGCTTGAATAGGAGGCAGAGAGCTGAACATGTGGACATCAGCTGGCTATTCAGCTGCATTAATGAGCAGCCCAAACAGATGCAAACACAAAGCCACTGAAGGAAAAGTCGGCCACAACAGAAGTCAGTGTGGACTAAACTGTGGATCACTTTTCATTTGACACAAAATTAATTTAATGGCTGACAAGTTATGTTAAGAAATTACATAACAGGTTGATAACCTTAAAATAAAGTGTCTGTTTGCCAATAAAGACGAAAGAAGGAGAATAACTTTTGCACATAATGTTATTGGATCAGAATCAGCTTTAATGCCCATGCAAGGTACACATAGTAGAAATTTGACACCGGTCTCACATTGCTCTCAATGTACATACACAGAACAAGCTAAAACAAACAAAAGAAAGAAGGACAGGAAGTCAAGGTGAAATGCAAAATAAACCTATGTGCATTATACCTTAAAGTAGAGACTTTTCTACTTGCCACAGATAGGGAGACCTGCATATGGCGGATGGTTATTTTCTCCACCTGAACTGGAGGAACGAGCACAATCATCGGTTGGCATGTGCTGCTGTGCTCTGCGCAAAAGGGATGTGACGGCATGTCCCCATCATAAAACTGATGGAACTGTATGAGAAAGGTCTCTTGTTATCTGTTCTTTTTGTTTACTTTTTATTGTTTACTACAACATTTGTTTTATTGTTTACTAATGTTAGATGTCCTCAATACTCCTTATGTTTTACAACAGATTATAAAACAAAATATTCCGGAGAGAGTACGGCGCTCCATCTGGTGAGAAGACTTTGATGGATCTGGAAACAGCGGGTGGATAAATTCAACCAGGAGTATTGCAGCAATTGTGCTCAGATGGAAAGCCATAATGCCATAAAGAAGGAAGACAGACCACAGCTCCGGGTCTACGCAGACACAGATGTCTGCGTCTAAAGGCAATCTGATCAGCAATCCCACAGCATCACAGAAGCAGAACTTCCTGAAACACCTGGCAGAGGTGTACAGGAGGCGACAGGAGTGGGCACTCTGATTACGGTCCTATTTGCTGACAAGAGGCAACAGCACCAATAACTATGTTGAAAGTGCCACGAGACTTGTGAAGGACATGGTGCTTCATAGACTGAAGGCCTACGATGTCACACAATTATTTTACTCCATTGTCACAAGATTTGGGTCATATTGCATCCGTCGACTAACCGATTTGTCCAACGACAGAGTAGTCACCCTTCTGTCGAGGCCTCCCAAGTGTAGCGATGTGGAGTGGGGAAAGATTCTCCAGGTAATATTACCTTAGTTATCATGCATGGCATTAAGTAGTTATATAAAGCTTTATATGTGTATATATATATATATGAAGCTTTTCTATGGCATTGCTTCTGATGAGTGTCTTGCAGTTATTCTGTTCATTTAGTAAATCACGAGAAGTTGAATCCACTGATACGAAAAACAATGAGGGGTGTGTGTGTGTGTGTCCATACAGGGGGGATCACTCCAGATGACTGGTTTGAGACCTCTATTGTTAGAACCGATTTTCCGAGAGTCTCCCTGCATGTGTCAGCTGCAGGCGTGCTACTGTTGTATTTCTGTAGTGTTACAGTTCAATCCTCGTTCATAAAATATGACGCTCGGCAGACAGTGGACTTGTTCATGTGTGTGTTTGGTCACCTGCTGCTAAAACCGCCTCTTTTATGTGAACGCGCTCACGGCTGGATTGGGAAACCCTGGGTTGATTTACTGTGTTGATAACCAGCTTCGTGGTACCGCTTATCCCAATCGCGATTGTTAGGGTTACTTAAGCCAGATAACGAAAACATAACCTGGGTATGTTGAACTCGCTTCGTGGTACAGGCCCCAGGCATAGCACAATAAAGCACAGAGTTGTTGGAGAGACAGCTTGATAACATTGTTGGGCTCCTGAAAAGCAAGCTGCGACAGGACACAACCTTTATTGCACCAGCAAAATCATTTGTTTCCAATTTTCACTAGCTGAAAACAGACAGTGCTCTTCGGTCTGCACTGTTTTGCTTCGGAAAGACTACCCACATTGCTTCCAAGGTTCGTGCCACACCAAGAAGCTTCCTCCAAACTAGCACTGCAATAGGTGTACAACCCACTGCAGTGTCTCGGAGAAAGGCAGCTTTGGGGGAACGAAGAGTCCTTAGAACTGGCCGACCCCCAAAAAGCTCTAGAATAGAGCCCCCATACACCAAACAAGGGAGAGCAAGGGAGGGAGGTTTACCACACAGTTTGTCCTTCTGTGGTCAGGAAAACACTTCCGTAGGGAAAACACAATGATTGTTGTATTTGTATTAGTGAATAGGTATGTCATATGGAATTATATTTGTCTGTAGTAGTTGTATATATATATATATATCATATTTATAACCATAACAGCTTGTTGGTAGGCTACATCTTTTTTTATTGAATCGTTGTAATTGATCAGTTATTGTCAGGTTTAGTTTAAACAGAACCCAGAAGCAGACTAAGACAGGAGATCGTTCAAGAAGTTGACTGAACAGCAGCCGTGCACACGCAAGACAAGGTGGGGGGGCAGGGGGAATAGCTGCATGGCTGGCTTGAAGATAGGCTGGGCAGGCAGGAAGCGCGAGATCCTCCAGAGAAGCAGGCAGGTATGAGCACTCGGGTCGGCGTCCTTTCCAGGCTAGGAAATCGTAAGAACAGAGACTAGGTTAACCATCAGTTAACAGGAAACACAAGAAAAGCTTAAAGAGAATACGACGGAACAACTAGGCTGGATGCCGACTGAGACCTACGGTAACAATCCAGCGGAGACTGAGGAGAACTGCAGGGCTTATCAAGCAGCACAGATAAGCATGATACGAATCAGTCTGCTAGACAGGTGTGTCACCACCAGTCACGCCACCTGCCAAGGTAGACAGAAGGTAGAGCAGCAAAGAGAGAGAGAGAGAGAGAGGCAGAGCGACAGAAAAACCAAAACACACCAGCCAGCCTCACTCAGTCAAAAACTGAAAGTAACAGAACACAAACATCCACACACAGACCTTCCCAGCCTAGTCATAGCTGGGACGTTGGGACAGTTATATCCTATAAAAATGTTGTCTTTGTCTTAAGTATTTCTATCCATTTTTATGTACTCAAGTTCATTAATAAATATACATGTATGTATACCATTAAATATTGTGTGTGTGTATATATATATATATATATATCATATCTCTTTCACCCTCCAAGTGGCTGCCGTATCTAAGTGGCCTAAGTTACATTTTCACTGGATCTTCTTTGTTATCGACCTAATAAAAAACTTCATGTTAATGTTTTTTCTCAACCTATAGTGTTAATATGTGGACTGTATTTAGTAGAAATTATTAGGGTTTGACAATTTGAAGTTAAGCTTCCCAAAATATCAGAAGAGAAAACTCTTACTCTTACTTTAATTCAGCAAGGCTTGTGTAAGAAAAGTCATTCGGAGCCATTGGCAGAAAAAGCTGTTGAAAACAGAGCGTTCAGAACAGGAGGAAATTGGGGTTTTTGCTCACAGGGATTTCTTTTAAATACTTCAATCTCATTATTTGAAGCTTTGGCCACGTTTAACATGAACATACGACATAGTAGATAAGTCATAAAATATGGAAAAGCACAAAAGGTCTCCTTTAAAAGAAATCCCTGTGAATCCGGGTCTCACAACAAAGGCATGCGTCTTATCCACTGCTACCATATTATGTTGTCCAATTACCGATGTTTAGGCTTTTTTTATAAGGAGCAGCTTGCCAGGTTCAAGGTTAAGGAGTCTCTTTTCCCTAAACATCCATGGAGCACTGAGACACTGAGTAAAAATGTTATACACTCCTTTGCTCTGGGCCAGACGTTACTAGGTGGTAGATCTCTGGTCCAGCTGTGTATTTTTTCAAGCACTTCTGTTAATTCTCATTTAATAAATCAACCAAAGGACAACAGTTTGATGTAATTAATTTATTTGTTCAATTCTCCCCAAGGAAATTTCCACAACAGTAACTTGGCCAATGTTGTAATATCATGTTTGCAATCAATCCAATCTTGTGTTAACGTTTTGGGAATGCATTGTTTTTTTCAAGTTCGTTAATAATTATGTCTAATAACGTTGTACTTATATTACATAGTTCTGCACTGCCATTGGTCTGTGGTATTTGAAAATAGAGCCAAATAGTCTTTTTCATCTACTCCTGTATCTCCATATGATACTACATGTCTTACTATACATCCTTAGTTAAGCTGACTATACAGGTGCTGGTCATATAATTAGAATATCATCAAAAGTTGATTTATTTCAGTTGTTCCATTCAAAAAGTGAAACTTGTATAATGTATACATTCATTCCACACAGACTGATATATTTCAAGTGTTTTAATTTTGATGATTATAACTGACAACTAATGAAAACCCCCAAATCAGTATCTCACAAAATTTGAATATTGTGAAAAGGTTCAATATTGAAGACACCTGGTGCCACACTCTAATCAGCTAATTAACTCAAAACACCTGCAAAGGCCTTTAAATGGTCTCTCAGTCTAGTTCTGTAGGCTACACAATCATGGGGAAGACTGCTGACTTGACAGCTGTCCAAAAGACGTCCAAAAGACGTCCATTGACACCTTGCACAAGGAGGGCAAGACACAAAAGGTCATTGCTAAAGAGGCTGGCTGTTCACAGAGCTCTATGTCCAAGCACATTAATAGAGAGGCGAAGGGAAGGAAAAGATGTGGTAGAAAAAAGTGTACAAGCAATAGGGATAACCGCACCCTGGAGAGGATTGTGAAACAAAACCCATTCAAAAATGTGGGGGAGATTCACAAAGAGTGGACTGCAGCTGGAGTCAGTGCTTAAAGAACCACCACGCACAGACGTATGCAAGACATGGGTTTCAGCTGTTGCATTCCTTGTGTCAAGCCACTCTTGAACAAGACACAGCGTCAGAAGCGTCTCGCCTGGGCTAAAGACAAAAAGGACTGGACTGCTGCCGAGTGGTCCAAAGTTATGTTCTCTGATGAAAGTAAATTTTGCATTTCCTTTGGAAATCAAGGTCCCAGAGTCTGGAGGAAGAGAGGAGAGGCACAGAATCCACGTTGCTTGAAGTCCAGTGTGTCCAGTGTTTCCACAGTCAGTGATGGTTTGGGGTGCCATGTCATCTGCTGGTGTTGGTCCACTGTGTTTTCTGAGGTCCAAGGTCAACGCAGCCATCTACCAGGAAGTTTTAGAGCACTTCATGCTTCCTGCTGCTGATCAACTTTATGGAGATGCAGATTTCATTTTCCAACAGGACTTGGCACCTGCACACAGAGCCAAAGCTACCAGTACCTGGTTTAAGGACCATGGTATCCCTGTTCTTAATTGGCCAGCAAACTCGCCTGACCTTAACCCTATAGAAAATCTATGGGGTGTTGTGAAGAGGAAGATGCGATACGCCAGACCCAACAATGCAGAAGAGCTGAAGGCCACTATCAGAGCAACCAGGGCTCTCATAACACCTGAGCAGTGCCACAGACTGATGGACTCCATGCCACGCCGCATTGATGCAGTAATTCAGGCAAGGAGCCCCAACTAAGTACTGAGTGCTGTACATGCTCATACTTTTCATGTTCATACTTTTCAGTTATCCAACATTTCTAAAAACCCTTTTTTTGTATTTGTCTTAAGTAATATTCTAATTTTCAGAGATACTGAATTTGGGATTTTCATTAGTTGTATTAGTTGTTTTAATCATCACAATTAAATGAAATAAACATTTGAAATATATCAAATGAACGAATATAATATCCAAGTTTCACTTTTTGAATGGAATTACTGAAATAAATCAGCTTTTTGATGATATTCTAATTATATGACCAGCACCTGTATGCAAAACAAAACCAAACAAACAAAAAAACTGAAATTTTCAAATGCTCATATACTACAAACATCTTTCAAAACTTAAATCACTGTTGTTTCTGTCGATCAGTGAATTTCTTTTATTTAGTTTTACACATGGTAGGAATGTTATTTAGTACACATTTATTTGCATATGGATGAAGTAAAATGCGCTTGCATAAATGTTCAAATGTAAAGAATGCATTATCTGTTCTCTTAATGAAGCATATTCATTGAATAAAATCTGTTCTCATCTAACAAAACGGTATGTTAATTTCAATACTGTTCCACCGTCTACATACACAGAATTAAAATTCTGATTTCAATCCCAATACTTAATCTTAAAAACAATGATTTGATTTAGATGTCATGGCTTGAAAATGTACTATATGGTAGAAGTAAATTAATCAATCTTCTCTTGGATTTGGAGTCCACTACCTGCTGCTAGTGACCCTTAGAAAGTTCAGGGCATATATTATTAGACCAGGCAACAGTAAGATAACTCGGGTGTGAAAACATTTCTTGTTCTTCTTCTCCCACCTCCATCTTCTGATCCTTAAATTGCAATAATTCTGACTTCCCAAAACATTTTAAAAACATGAATATTCTTCGCTATATCACCTAGGGTTAGATTTGTAGACAAATCACTGAAATCTTAACAACAAATACAAGATCCATATTGAAGCTGCATGCGGTGTTGGACGGGCCCTCATGAAGCACGTCAGGGTGTGCCGTTAGACGCTTCACAAAGGACTTAAACATCACTCCCTGTGTCCCCTAGTTGGCGCTAGAGAGCACCTAATAACTACACATCATGTCCAAGTATGTCAAGTGTAGAACACATTCTGAAACTTTCATGCAAATCACGTGATGATTGGCACACAGAGCTTACTTCTTGTTGCCAGTCGGTGGGGCTGTGATTATAACTGACTATTGGCATGTTGATGTGTTCAGGGTGGGAAGGTTACAATACATGTCAAAGTTGGTACAGATGTGAGCATGTACACTGGAGTTACAAGAACTTCCAGTTTCATGGCCAATCGCAGTTTTTTGTCGCAATGTGCACGCTCGTCAACGGAACCTCACTGTTTGTACTATGGCTGCACGATTAATCTAATCGCAATCGTGATTGTCATCCTGTGTGATTACATAACCGCAAAAAAGGTGCGATTTAATTAAACAGAAAAGGTATGCTCCACGCCCACAGTCGGGTTCTCGCATGTGTCCCTAAAAACCAGAAAATTGATTTATGAGCAGTGTGCCAGGAACAACCTACCGTAACCCTCCTCCCCGCCCCGCCACTAATCGTTCAAAATCCACCACCTCTCCGCACCTCGCGGAGAGAAATGCCAATGCTCCGGTCACTCTGTCACAGAGACAGAGACGTGTCATCGGCAGCGGAAGCAATAGAAAATGTAAATGTAAATGCTCCGTACTTGTATAGCGCCTTTCTAGTCTTTTCGACCACTCAAAGCGCTTTTACACTACATCTGCATTCACCAGTCACACTACCTCCTGAGCCACAGCCGCCCAGAAAACAGGGAGAATATTAGGATGACCATTTAAGGTTAGCTGTATCGCTCATGTTTTGTTGTTCAAAATGTTCAACTTTTCACAGAGCCGACGTGCTTGTCACTTTTCATCAACCAACCAATCACAGCCTGGATGGGGCGGGGCATTAAAAACAGTTTGACCTGCTACAGCAAACTTTCAAATGTTGAACAATATCATTAGGTTAGTAGTAAGAATTTACAAATTAGAGACCAATGTAGAGCTCCTTTCCTACACATGGATTTAATGACTAAAACAACCCAAAGAAATGAAAGAGCTGTAACTTGATTTAATAATCAACTAGTTGTAAAATATCATACTATTATCTAAATCACAATTAATATAGTAATTAATATATTATTACACTAACAGTACACTATCAACTGAACATTATACTCTTTATTTAATGTTGTATTATTATACTAATACACTCATGTTAACTAATTACTCCTCCAGGTTGCGGATGGAGTCTCTGCAGTGGACAGATGTAGATTTAGCCAGAGTCACGATGCCAGTGTGCCAATATTTGCTCCTTTTAGCCTCCTCCTCAGATAAAAATGCTCCCTTTGTTCTCTGTTGAAGTTGAGAAATGTTCAAACTGAAGCAGCGTGAATGCGTTGGTGGGATTTAAGCTGACGACACTGAGAAAAAGCTTTTCCACACTGGTCACACGAGTACGGCTTCTCCCCTGTGTGAAGACGTTGATGGCATTTTAGCTCACTTGATCTAGTGAAAGCTTTCCCACATTGGTCACACCAGTACGGCTTCTCCCCAGTGTGAACACGTCTGTGATTTACTAGATCACTTGATATAGTGAAAGCTTTCCCACATAGGTCACACCAGTACGGTTTCTCCCCAGTGTGAAAACGATGGTGCCTCTTTAATTCAACTGATGTAGCGAAAGCTTTCCCACACTGGTCACACGAGTATGATTTCTCCCCAGTGTGAACACGTCGATGGACATTAAGGTTACTTGATGTACTGAAAGTTTTCCCACATTCTCCACACGAGTATGGTTTTTCTCCAGTGTGAACACGATAGTGCCTTTTTAAGTCACATGATGTAGCGTAAGCTTTCCCACATTGGTCACACCAGTGTGATTTCTCCCTAGTGTGAACAAGACGGTGGTTGTTTAGGTTACATGACATAGTGAAAGCTTTCCCGCATTGGTAGCAGCTGTACGGTTTCTCTCCAGTGTGAACACGTTTGTGTCTTTCTAGGTTCCATGATGCAGCAAAAGCTTTCCCACACTGGTCACAACTGTAGGGTTTCTCCCCAGTGTGAACATGACGGTGCTTATTTAGGTTACTTAAGCTACTGAAAGCTCTCCCACACTGGTCACAACCGTACGGTCTCTCTCCAGTGTGAAGCCTCTGATGAATCTTTAAATATCCAGATCTTGTGTAGGATTTGTCACAGTGCTGACAGCGGTGACGTTTGAGTCCCTCTCCTCTCCGTTTCTATAGCACAGACAGACATACAGAGAGAAAGACAATAAGTGAGAGGTCCTGCTTTAGGGAGCTATTTAGAACCATAAATGACATTTAGAGCATGTCTGTGGGTACATAACCCACAATGTTCAAGTTTGATTACCCACTAATGCATTCTGTGACGATAAACTGCAGGAGCCTGCCTTAAAGGTGGATTTAGCAATTCTAATCCACAACACATATTTTTGCCAAATTCAGTAAGAAATCTCCCCTCACTTCACTAGCTAAAGGACTTCTCCACGGAAATTCAAATTACTTTCTAGTTCACTAAGACATGCTGTTGTTGGGATGTTAGCTTTAGTGACAGAATGCTTGTGAGTATTGCTGTCTGGAACTGTTGTGCTGGCTCTGGGGCCGACTCGTCCTCTCTGCATGTTAGCTTCATGTTAGTTTCTAACCCAAAACTTAGCTAACATTTATGAACTTTCTTGATTTGCCCTCCACGCCGCACCCTGTGTCCCTGAGCTCCTCCAGACCTCTGACATGCATAGCAACTGTAAGTCGCTTCGGAAAAAGTAGTTCTGTGACTCTTTGCATGATTCAAAGTTAAAAAGGACCTGCTCGCTGTCCCCAGTTCCAGGTTCCGGACATTTGGTGACAGAGCTTTCTGTGTCGCTGCACCATCACTTCCTCTTGCCATACGCTCTGCCTCCTCTCTAATTACTTTTTAAAAAACATCTTAAAACACACCTCTTCACTGAGGCCCCCCCTTTGTTTGTTAAGCGTTTTGGTTAAGGTTTTAGTTTTGGTTAAGGTTTGTGAAAGGCTCTATATAAATCAAAGTTATTATTATTAAATAATTATCTATTTTACATTGATTCTTCATGTAGGCCTTCATTTGAGCCTCTGTCTGAAACGAGCTGTAGATGCTCCCGTCTCTTTAAGGCCCCCCCTCCCTCTCAAAGCCCACGGTCTTCGGATTGGCCAAGACCTGAAGCATGTTACCAGGCTGTTGTTGTCGCTGGGCTGAACAGGCAGACTGAGCGTTGCCATGCTGTTGCTGTGGGAGCAAATGAACATCAGTTGACGATGGATGGATGGACTTCCATAAATCTTTTATCCTAAATCTTATCCATAAATCTTTTCAGCCTGTTATATACTAATAAATAGTGGCAACATTCATTTTTACGCATTATGGGTCAGATATTTGATTAAAGTATTCAATCTCACCTGCTTAAGGGGCATTGTGGAGTTTCCAGCGGCCACTAGCGGTGCGGTTCTAAGATTGCAACCAGTTGTGTGCTTGTACACGTGCGCGCTTGAACTCATGAACGAGCATAATCCAAAACACAACCACTTTCATACAGAAATACCTCAATAAACGCAGGAACACCAGCATACCGGCTGTAGCTTTTCATACAGACATGTTCAGGCTGTGTTACTTAAACGTTCCCGTCTCATAGGCAGATAAACACCGGCGCCGTACCTTTCATTCAGTGCAGCGAGCCGTATATCGGCACAATCCTCCCGAATTAAGGCAGAGTGACGAGAAGGTGTGTACATGAGTATTGGTAAAACGACAATAAACCTAAAGTGAACGTTACGAAGCACACAGCGTCAGGGTCGAGCTACTATAGCGTTAGCTGGCTGCATCACTATATTTAGCTAACTTAGTAAACAAATCGTTCCACATTTGCTTTTTACCGTTACATCCTTTTCTTGCAGGCTAAATCAACCGTGGTACACAGGATAGTAACATGGGTCGCGTTAGGTGGTGAAGTAATGTGGAAAGCGATTTAACTTTGCACCGGATTAACATTAGCAACTGCTCGACGTTAGCTGGCAAGCTTGACTCTGTGTTTACCCAGCTTTACTAATGCTCACTTTGTTCTTACTCGACATCATCTGGTCTGATGGGCTTCAACACATAAACCTTAATTGTTATTTTGTATCCTTACGTGGAGCCTGTGTTTTGCTGTGAGCCGGTTGTTCTATGGTGTTAGTGGACTGCATGTCGTTAGCTGCAGTACGAGAGACGCTCGTGACTGCGCACAGGGCTGAATCAGACCTGGAGACCTCACATTCAAAGCAGAATAGTGGCTGATGCAAGCAACGGAGAAAACAGGCGTGTGCTTCATTTCTAAGTGAGTTTTGAGCCCATTGACAATAAGGAAATGAAAATTGTATTAATTTCATTGAAAAACTTAAATATAGCTCCTTTAATTATAATCCATGTGAATTGTCCATTATTGCTTTTATATTTTTACTACTACCCTTCAAAGTTTTTAACATCTGATCCTTATTACCCATCTAAGTTTGGTCTAGAAATTAAGCAAAAATACAAGATCACTTTGAACAGAATAAAATTTATTTTTCAAAAACATTAAATGTATCAAAACTTCAAACTTCAAAGAGCAGCTTTATGGTCGGATCAAGCTAGCTTCTGGGTGCTAGTCAACAACATTGGCAAGCAAAGTAATTTTTGTAGTTTGTTTCTTTTTCACATTCACGTTAGCAACATCAGCAACATCGTTACCTTCAGGGCATGTCTATCAAGTCAATTTACATACAGAATTTACATACCACAGCAATGCACACACACACCTTTGCGTAGCAGAATGGGCTGTCCACAACTAACCACTCCGCTGTAGTAACGTTATAACTAAACTTCCAAAAAGCAACATGAAAAACAGCTGCAGGCATCAGAGATTCTATGCTCGTTAGTTTAAATGAGACTTTCCGTTACACGTCCGAAGTCCTAATTTACGCATGTGTTACGCATCCATAAGGTTGTGAAACAGTGCCATTGGCCACTGAAGTATTCTTCAGCAGATGTAGGTACCTTCAAGAAAAAAAAGATTAAAGAAAAATGAATGTATGACACAAACATTCTTCATTCAAAATATATAAATTATACTTTAGCCCAAGCTGCATGCAAGAAATCATTAAATGCTTTTATAATTTAATGAATCATTAAAAGAATAAAGCACCACATAAATTCCAGATAAGTACAAAATAAAAATGTGTGTGTAATTTATGCATATTAGTACATAACTTATCCAGGTTGTCTACAGCTCCCTTGCAGCGGTTGTAGTCTTTAATCACCAAAGGCTTGCGTTGTTCATCCTCAGACACCACTGGCTCGCGGTGTTTTGTGTTGAGTAGAATAACATTGTTGCCATGTAGAAAACAGCTGTTGCATTACTTCAAAAAAACAAAGACCAAGAATCGTGGCTGTCGCTGTTGGGTCTGGAGGATGATCGCCAGTTGCTCTGGCTTATTTTTTCTGATGGTTCCGACCATTGCGATTTTCTTCTTCAAAAGCACCTCTGCCAGTGGATACGATGTGAAGAAATTGCCACATGTCAACGTGTTCCCCTCTAATTCCTCAGTCATTTCCAGCATGACCCTCCTTCCCTGGTTCTTAACTGGGGCACAGCTGGCGGGCTTGCTGGTATATACGCAAAGGAGGTAAGTACATCACAGGTAATCCTGATATTTTTCCCGTACTTGCCTGGCTTGCTGTGCATATACTGCCTGAATCCACAATGTCCTTTGAACAGCACTAGCCGCACACATCCTGGCCCGGGTTAAAAAGAGCCGTGAGGGGCTCCAACCACTTCTCCCAGATTGGGCAGAAAGCAGCCAGCTTTTCTTGACTGACCGTAGTTTTGAGTTGAGTGCAGCAAAATTTGCTGTGTGACATGGTCGCTCTGAAAATAGGCTGTCCCATGTAGTCGTCCCAGAGGCTTCGAGTAGACTCATTGCGAGAGCGATATAATCCAGGCAGGATTAGAAGCCAGATATTAGCCTTCACATTTGTGGCATCAACGTCAGCCCGACTCTCCAGGGAACGTCTCCCCTGGAGATGAAGCATGTCCACGATACTGTGGTGATGTGGGCCGTTGCATACAGTGTTGGGGCGGGTGTCAATCCCTTGGCAGGAACATACCTCAGTGTGCCTGTGTAAATCGGGGACCCGAGGAGTCCACTTTTTGATATATATTCAGGATCTGCTTCCTCCTTTTTGAATCTAAAGAATCCCATTCAACCGACTCAAATTCAACATCCTAATGTCCTTATCCCCCACGCTCTCTTCAGACTCCGATCCTTGGCTTTTATCCTATTGGACAGGTGACTAACATTTGAAGCATTTAAAACATTTTGTATTTTTGTGGTTAAATTAGATAACATTAGTTTGCCAATTAATGGCGAGCAGTTGCTAACGTTGTCTGGTGCAAAATACTACAGTAGTATGGCTTTCCACATTACTTCACCAGCTAAAGCCTGATACTTCTGTGTTAATCGATTCTGTACCCTATGCCATAGCATTTTTTTAATTTTTTTTTACACAAATGCAAATGTGCAGTGGATACAAGTCACCTCTATCCTGATTAACAGAACCATAACTAACTAAATGAACATCATGTTGTATTGAAGAACACTTGAAACTAGCTAATGAGAACCAGAAAGTAAATAGACTGGCTTTGCTAAAGTGTCTGATTGTAGTTGAATACAAGTATAAACCATGTCAAAATTCTTGCTTAATCTTCATACTTTGCAGAATTGCACACTTGATCAAAACTGTAAGTAGTTTGGTTATACTGTTCAGTAACTTAAAATAGTCAAATCATAAGATTGTGTATCGTGATCCCTCCTGAAATAAATCATAAGATATTTCTGCCATATCGCCCCTAATTGTCAGCATGAACTGTTGAAATGTAACCACACTTTTAAATAAGGCTGCACGATTAATCGCAATTATGATGTCACCCTGTGCAAACAGCAAAAAGGTGTGATACTCTTGTCTCTGTGTGCACTGAGGTGTGATCACAATTCATGCCCACACCAGGCTCTCGCATATGTAAATGTCTGCCAAGAGCAGTATCACTAAAGTTAAAGTCACTACTCATCAAGGTTTATTTCAGACATTTTACATATTACACTCAATGAACAAAGGTAGATAAGCAGACACACAAATCAAACAAAATGTCACTTTACACAGGAGGTTCAAGCAAATCCTTAGAAGTACCATAAGGCTGGTCAAGCTCTCGACAGAGAACGGCCACAGACAAGATGAAAGAGATGCAAGAGAATGCCATTAAACATAAAAAGGCCTTTAACAGAGCTTATGATTCCTTGAAACAGTCAGCAAGAGAGATAAGGACAACAATGAAAACTTTCTGTTCACCAAATGACCTCAATAACGTTGAAAAAGGAAATCCAAACCAAACATGAACTGGTTCAATGCCTGTATGAGCCTGTTTTTTACGCTACCAGGCCAACACTCCAGATATTGTTGGCAAAATGGACACCCGTGCTGCCCTGATGGAAGAAATGCTTGCGCTTGTGAGAAACCATGGATGAGAACTATAATGAACAGGTAGAGAAAGAAAGAGCGAGAATAGCTCTCAATAAAGGAAGAGTACAGGTCCATCTTTGGTCAAGAACTGAAACTGTAGTCACACAGAACCCAGAGAACTCCAGCTCACACTCCAGCAGCTCTAGTAAATGACTAGATGCAGAGCTCACAGCCAAACGAGAAAAAGGCTAAGGCAATGAAACACATCCAAGCCCAACGGTTAAGACTCACTAAACTGGAGAGTGACGTTCGATGGTGATCCAATGAAATTTGTCAATTGGAAGATGTCCTTCACTATCCTTATTGACCGGAAGCCCCTCTCTGCAAGTGAAAAAATGATAATGTGCCTCACCGAAGAAGCACGCAGAGCTGTGGAATACAGAAATTCAGAGGATGCATTGCATACATAGGTGCCTGGAAAGTCTACAAGAAAGGTATCCATTCATCATACAAAAGGCTTTCAGAGACAAGCTCGCTTGCTGGCCTAAATTCAGTGCAATAGATCCTTTAGCACTTAGAGAGTTTGCAGACTTCTTACAGGGATTCGCAGAGGCCATCCCACACATCAAGGGACTGGACACCGTGGATGACAGTCAGGAGAATCACAAAGTGCTCCGAAAATTACCAGAGTGGATTGTGAGGAAGTGAAGCTGAATTGTTGTGGACGAAATGGATAAGTCTGGAAATTGTTTTACTGCATTCTTAAACAAGGATAGCCTGCAATCCTATAGCCTCTCCATTCCTCGTGAACTTCAAGACAGATGACATGAGTACCAAAGAGAGCTAAAACCTTGAACACCAGTGCTCAAATAAAGAACTACACCAGAGAAAGACAACAGATCTCCAATTATAAAGGACGACCACCATGCTCAGTTTGCAAAGATGAAACACGCAATATTTTTAGATACCCCATACCATGGAAGAAAAGAAACTGTTCATACATCAAAATCATTTCAGTTTTGTATGCCTAAGGAAAGGAAATTTCACCAAGGATTGCAAGAAGCGACACACGCGCCACCTGCAGTCGTCGACATCCAACTAGCCTGCATGAAGAGTGGCAACAAAAGCCTCCGGAAGCAATAAAGAATGACTTAGCTCCTGCAGACAACAGTTTGCAGTCTCAATCAAGACTCCGCATCATGCTTTATCCCCTGAGGGCAGTTACAGAAGCCTTTGCCTGGTTACTGTGAGCATCTTATATAACAAATATAGCTTTCAGAAACAGAAAAAAAGCTTCTTTGTAAATTTACTTCAACTATAAAGACTAAAACAAAAAAAAGGCTCTTAAGTCGATGAAAAACTCTGAAGTAGTTCTGGAAAGCTCAGGCTTTGGGCTTTAGGGGGTAGAGATAACGACAGTGGGCTACAGAGAAGTGTCATAATGGTCATCATTGAGATTTGAAAATAAGGAAACTATAAATAAAAAGTATGTTATTAAATGTGGTTGTACAATTCCATATTATACTGTTAGTATATTATTAATATTACTTATGGCTACTATTTTTATTATAATTTCGCACTTACCTGTCCTATCTGCAAATTATGGTACTACTATTATTATTGTATGTTTAACTTATATTTCAAAAAATTGCACAAGAAAGATTTGCAGATTGCTTATCTATTTGAACAAAGTGGAGAGGACCCATGATCCGTACCTGACTATGTATTTATAAACTTTTGTTTATTTAATGGACTGTGGTGCAGAAACAGTTGCCCTTGACTTTAACCTTCGTTGGATAACTATGACCTGGATGACTGAGAATCTTCATAGACAGTGAGGCTTAGTGTAAACAGGGCCTTATCTTGCAGGCTGCTTCTGTTTCTGGGCGAGTGACCCGTACCAGCAGCAGAGCATCTGATGATGGGAGGATTCAAACATTATGCATTTTAATTTGATTTTTTATTAAAGGAAGTTCTTGAGCACATTTACATTTAAAAATAACCAGCTCTGTGAATCACTGCACTGCCTCTGCGGCTCACTGGGTGGCGCTCTGAGGCCTCCACTGGGAGAACGGTAGAAAGAAAACGTGTGTGCTCATATCTAGTCAGTCTGATGATCTGTTGTTTTAGTTTTCCAGCTGCTCCGTGTCCCAACAGAATAAAAGGTTTCACATATCTGAAGCTGTGTTTACCTAAAACACCTAACAGCTTTCACAGAGCAAAAAACTGCAGAACCGGAAGTTAACTTCAGCTTTGTCCAGTCTGAGCTAACTAGCTAGCATGCTAACACCCAGGCAGCAGGCTACATGCTACAAGAGACCTCCTCCTCCTCCTCCTCCTCCTCTCCGGGTCCGACCGTCACATTAAGTGTGGGTTCTGTAGAGATACGGGGTTCTGATGGCTCCACTGTTGAATCCTGCTACATTACATCTTGTTTACAGTCAATATGAAGCTACGTGTCGGAACCAGGCCGAGCTAACGCCACGTTAGCTTCTTGTTAGCTGCTAGCTGTGTTCATGAACACTGACCTGAACATCGGTGCTATCAGAGCTCGAGCCTGCTGTTTGTCCTCCGGGGACGTTGTTGCTCCGGGGCTCCGGGTCCTGGTTGTCCTCCTCCATCCCGCTCTTGGTCCTGGTCTCTGAGATCCAGCAGGTCTCCTTTGTGACTGTCGGAGCTCTTCAGATTCAGGAGCGCTGCGGGACCCCGTGGAGCTTTACGCCCCCTTAGTTACTGTTGCTAAGCGCTAAGTAACCTTTAGCAGCAGAATCAGTGTTTCCAAGATGTTGAAGCTTTTTGTCCCGCAGAGATTCACAAACCATCGTTACTGTATCAGCAGCTGGAGACTCTGTTCTGTTCTCCAGACTGCAAACAGCCTTAAAACGAGTTCTGATGATTATAATTAGAGAACTATGTGTAGACAATGTGTCAGATATTTTCATGCGCATTACTTGTGCAGGTTTGTGTTGTGCAGACATATTACAGGGGGAGTGGATTTGTATTTATATAAATATATACACTGACTAAATGTAATGTGGCAGTTTGTGCACTGATTTGCAAAATATTGACATTACATTAGATTTACAGTGAGAGTGCAGAAAGTGAGAACGTCCCATGTGGTGAATAAAAGTCCTTCACCCTCACGTGTCTCCTCCCTCTCAGAGATGCTCGGGGGAAGCCAGGAGTCAAACAGCGTCGACCTGTCACACCTGTTGTTCCTCTCTGGCATCTGGACACGGGCTTCACCTGAAACTCCACCTGACAACATGTGATGACACAGATCACTGAGACGTTTCTGCTGGACAGCTTCTGACTGTTACCTGCCAGGTGAGCGTGTTGATGAACACGTGAAAGTGATCCACATTATCAGAACAACACTGTGATGCACTTTGACCACAGAGACTCACTCAGTGTTTCACTGGATCACCTGAAGAGACCGGCTCAGGTGTGTTTGACTTCTGTGTGAAAACAACAAGAAATGCATCACATGTTGTGAGGAGAAGAGTTATGGATCATTTTGAGAAGCATGAATATTCTCTGAGGAGGAAAATTGTAAATACAACCTCCAATGTATAGAAAGCATTTCTCAACATGTTATTTACAAACTTTTGAAAACTTAAAATTAAACTTTCAACCTTTATTATTGTCCTAATGAAAAGTTGGACTGACTTTACTGTTAAATTACATAAATCTCTGTCAGCTGCTGCTGTCTGTGCAGCTGATGTTGTTATTTGTTGTCCTCTCAGTCTGTCAGGTGGAGGTGGAGGAGGGAGTGGAGTCTGCCCTGCCGCCCGTCAAGACTTCAGCCAAAAGAAGGACGTCCATTAAAGCAACATCAGTGTGGACAGACAGTCTCCAGTCAGTGAGCAGCTTGTAGCTCTGATCACAGTCAGCTCCTTCTACTAACACTAGAGTCAAACGCACAACAGGAAGCTGGACAGACAAATGTCTCCACACAACAAGCTGATGTCAGTGAGGAAGTGTTGGAGAAAGACTGGTGTGTCATGTGATGTTTGTTCTTCAAAACACACAGATGTGAGGTGATGGTGTAACCCTCCCCTCCATGTCTCTGCTGGGACGTCCTCACAGGCAGCATGTTGTGTCTGCGTCATTCTGCTTCCTTTGTACTCCAGCCGGTGACCCAGAGATCCACCGAGCTCCTCCATCATCCAGGAGAAACAGTCTGCTTGTTAAATGGTCGGCTGATCTGATGAACAGTAAAAGTGGAAATTATAGTTTTAATATTCCTCCAGAAGTGTAAAAAGGAATAACAGCAGAGCCTCTGAACGTCTTCATGATGATTCAGCAAATGGAAATGATTCCATGTGTGCGGGGGCCTGAATCCTGAAGCTGCTTTAAGAGTCTGGGTCTCTCTTGGTGATCTGGTCTCACTGAGTCTAACAATGGCCATCCTTGATAACCAGTATCATGAAGCTGCTTATGGACTGGCTCTGTTAACTCAGGGATTTCCATCCAGCTCGGAATATGTGAAACAGGACGAGTTGTTAGTTACAACAACATCATCACAAACATGAAGGAAGAGCTTCTTCTGAGACAAGAGCAGCTGAATATATATTAGATAGATTTCAGACAGATTATTGGACAGATGGTGCAGGAAGCTTTCAGCTGGCAGGTGACACAATATAAAGACTATATTCAGCTCCACCCAGGTTCGAGTTAAGACACCAGTCATAGTCCACTGAAGCCAACAAGGTATAATATATACAAAATTCGTATTCCAAAACATTTTATTTGGTCTGAACAGATGGAAGCAGGTCCCGTTGCGTAACACAGTGTGATGTGCCTTATAGACAAATATCTTAATCTCTCCAATACCGACAGCAGAATTGACAATGTCTGATGAATTGAACACATAAAAAAGTTACAAAAAAACGTTGTTGTCTTTGTGAAATTTATTAAAGGTTAGAATAGAAAAGAGTGATTCAGCTGAAGGGCAGTGCTCATACTCCTGAGGGCGATTAGAGAGTCTGACCCCGAGAAACAGATAACTAAGAAATTTAATGCTAGAGAATAATTGTGGAGTCTACGGGAAAAGCCTTTCTCTGCCTTGAGCCACAGTGGAAACTCTATTCTCACAAGAAAACATAAGACAAAACGATCTAAAAGCTACGAGAAACCATTTTTGATAGTAACCCAGAGGAAACGCTACTCTTGAATGCATCTTATACTACATAACATTCTACAACAAGGACTTGCAACTCTGAAATTTCCCAACACATGTGAAAGAGGAGCTAGATAATTTTGTTCGGCAGGAAGCCGTGTTCGATACTTGTTCAGCTCACGTTTATTAACATATCTGCTCTGGTTTTATCATTTCTGACGTACCAAATGTAAGTACAGACAAGCAGTTAGTAGATATCTTTACAATACGTTAAACAATGTAATTTAACCGCTCATTAACGTTAGCGCTCCTCCACTGATAAACATGGCATTAGCTACCTTTGTGGCCAGTTTAATTTAGCAATGGGAAGCGTTAGCTGCTGTAAGCAATGTTAGAGAATAGGGCTGAAGGATTTAGGAAAAAATCGAATTGCTATATTTATGCCAGAGATTGCGATTAAGATTCAATTAGATTTTTTAAAGTTTAAGTAATTTTCAATAATCATTAAGTAATATATAAAACATGTCATGGAGCATTACAACATGTGACACCATGAAAAATGAATGGCACAATTTTCAAAATAAAACATGCTGTGCAGACCCCCGATTGTATATCAACAATAAACACAGTTAAAACAGACCCCAATGTATCGCAAAAGAAACATCTACCTACACAGACTTAAAATACATAGCATTCTGAATACAATCCCAATACTTAATCTTAAAAACAATGATTTGATTTGATGCCATGGTTTGAAAATGTACTATATGGTAGAATGAAATTCATCAATCTTTTCTTGGAGTACTAACATAACTTGGGTGTGAAATATTTCCTATGAGCCACACTCACCTCCCCCTTCTGATCCCTAAATTGCAATAAGTCTTCCCAAACATTTTAAAAACATGAATTTTCTCTGATACATTTGGGCTTACCTTCTCTATGTCACCTAGGGTTAGACAAAGGATTAGATTTGTAGACAAATCACTAAAATCTTAACAAAAAATACAAGATCCATATTGAAGCTGCAAGTAGCATTGGACGGGCCCTTGTGAAGCATGTCAGGGTGTGCCAGGGCTGCACCACAGGAGCCACAGCTCTGCCAACACGGCTTTGAATTGACAAGCGCTTTGGACACTGCACAAAGGACTTAAACATCACTCCCTGTGTCACCTAGTTGGCACTAGAGAGCACCTAGTAACTACACATTATGTCCCAGTACATCAAGTGTAGATATGGGGTCATTTTGTTTCAATACTATTTGTCTGAACAATCTGATCAATGTGTAAATGTGTAATATGTAAATATAAAACACTTTCCACAAACACAAAATAAAGATTTCTAAACTCACAAAAATATTTTGCAAATATAAAACCAATCTGGAAATACACAAAAAAATTCCACAAAAAACAAATCAGGTGAATATGTATGTAATAAATTAACCACATTTGTGAATATCTTCCTAACATTTACAACTTTCAAAAGGCATTTGTGAGTCCAGTTTTAATGTATAAATTGTTGAAAAGCATTTGTGAATACCTTCCTAATATCTGTCATTTTCAAACAGGCATTTGTGAGTCCAGCTTGTATTTCTCAATCTCAGTTCTTCACACGGAGTTATGAAACAAACTTTCCGTCAGTAGAAAGAAAATCGACTTGTGTAACTCGGCCGTTTTCGGAGCTGCCAAAAAGTGCTAACTTGATCAAGGGCTAGACTGGGACAAAAATTCAGCCCCGGCCCTGTAGCCACGCCAGCCCACCTTACCACGCATCCCATGAACACACATTCACTACTTAGGCTACATTTATGTACAGATGGTGAAACAATATAAGCAGCAGGCCGACTGTAAAAGTAAGTGTGTCACTTTGTGTTGAAAAGATGTCGTGACGTAAGGTGTGAGAATAGGTGTGCGATGAAAGACTTTGGTCACGAGAACAAGACGAAAAGATATTTTAACACTATTTTGAAGAAATATTCAATGATGAATATATGAGTGGGGACCTGGGGATCCTCCCTCAGAAGATTTTGAGCATTAAACTCCTAATTTCCTGCATTCTGGAGACATTTTCTGCACCAATTTATGGAGTACATGTCTTTATTTATATGAATGGCAGCACAAAATTCAGGTGGCAGGTGACAATTCAACATTTAATAATATAATGCAGTAATCAGTAACTGTTTTTGTTGCTTAAGTAACTTTCTTGGACAATGCATATTTGTTTCTTCTATATTTAACCAATTATGCTTTCAAAACGTGACAGGGACATGTCCCCAGCGACCCCAGTGTAAATGACACCAATGGTAACAGATTTACATAGGACTTATGTCTCAGCATGTATACATTTCATCTCCTGTTACTGTCTTTCTCTACTGCAGAGTTCATTACAACCCAAACATTTTTCTGTGACTGTTTTCTTCCAACCTCTACCACCGTCCTCCATGTCTCTGCTAGGCCTACAGTAACATCTCTCTGGTAAGAGAAGATCTCCATGGAGAAATGCCACGCTGGTTAGAACTCAAAAAAAGAGTGTCAAAAAGTTGAACGCAGGTGGCAGAAACAAATCTCCAGGTTCCTTATGACATCTATAAACAGAGACTTCGCATTTATAATTTAGAGCTGAGAAATGCAAGGCGGTCCTTCTTCTCTGACATCATCACCAAAAACACTAATGATGCACGTGCCCTGTTTGCTGCTGTCGACGGGCAAACCAACCCTCCTGTGTCTGTAGCCTCTGAACTTCTATCCACCAGGGCCTGCAATGAATTTGCCTCCTTCTTCACAGACAAAATCCAAACAATTAGACAAGCAATCAGTGCCTCCATGTCAGTAACAGGATATGTCTTGTCCCTGTGTCCACTTAAAAACAATTCATGTAGCATGAGACAATTTGATTCTATTAACCATAAAAAACCTGGAGGACAAAATACAACATCTGAAATCCTCCTCATGATGCCTTGATATTCTGCCAAAAGGTTTTTTAAAAAATGTTTCTAAATGCATGGCCTCAGATCTACTACAAATTGTTAACATGTCTCCTCTCAAGTTTTTCCCCACAGGCCCTGAAAACTGCAGTCATTAAGCCACTCTTAAAAAAGAGCAATCTAGACAGGTCACTAATAAGCAATTATAGGCCCATA